ATATATGTGTGTGTATATATGTGTGTATATATATAAAAAACTGGTAGAACTATAAGGAAAAATAGACAACCTATATATTTGAGATACTAGTAGACTTTCTAGACAGCTAACATTCAATCAATTATATATATATATGTATATATACCTTGAGATTACCAAATGCTTACTGAACATGCCATAAGATGTGAAGTTAGAATATCTGATTTCCTATATGTTCCTATTACTTATTAGTTATACAACTTGGGAAATTATTTTAATTTCTCAGAGCCTCTGTTTCTTTACCTGTATCATGGTCTAAAAAGTATATGTTATGGACTGGCAAAAGTCATGCTGTATTTTTCTATGCAAAAAATGCATCATGATTTTTCTGATGACCCAATAGATACATAGTTCACTTCTAGCCAGAACTTCCCCTTGGTAACCAGAAGTAGATGTTCCCAGCCTGACCTGTTGCGTTTCAGTCTTGATGGAGTCCTAAGTTGAACCAAAATATATCCTGGCTACCAGTGCGATACATTTCAGGTCATGACATTGTGAATTCCAAAGCATCATAGAACTTGAGGTCTGGCCTGATCAGGGTAGAGTAAGTTCCAAGTAGTTCAGCTGCTGGTCAAACCTAGTGTTTCAGTGGGGAAATAGGACCTTGGGATTCCATGGCTCTGCCTAGTATCCTTGCATAATTTACCAAAGCCCAGAGCATGACCTGTGGGACCTCTATAGCTTGTAGGTCATAAACCCAGACCAGCAACAGGGCTAGGTGAGCCTAGGAATTGCTACCTTAGCTTTAGGCCCATAAATCACCCTGAATTTGGATCTAGCCATTCTGGATTGGTAAATGTGTTTCCCCAAGCTGGCAGCACACTTGCTCACAGACATTTATGTCCATAGTTGCTTCAGGCTCATACAGAGGCTTTGTGTTTAGAATGTTTCCAATGTCTACTAGCCATGACTTGAAATAGTGAGCTCAGCAAATGTCATCCTATACAAATGTTACCGGGCAATGCAATACCACCACTGGTCAGTGCAGCTGAGTTCCTGTGTTCACCAGCTGGGTTCCATTCCCTTGTGCGTGTTCACTTATATAGTTCACGTCTGTGACAACTGCACATTAGTTCAAGAAGGCATTTATTGGTTGGCCCCATAGTATAGTGGTTTCTATGCTGTGCATAGGAAGCAGGATCCAACATGGGTAAAAGCAGTTCAAATCCCAGCCTCAGCAGGTTGAAAAACATGCTGGGGGCATGTGTACGGGTGCTTACCATCTGGACACTACGGAGAAATGGAAGGAAATGGATAGTAGGGTCCATGCCCCATAGGGAGATAGATGGTTTCTCCCTCCCTCCCTTTCTGGTGAGTGCATGCATACCCTCTTGGAATTAAAAAAAAAAAGAGCAAGCTATTATTTCAGTCTATTGGAAAAGCTATTGTGCAGAAGAGCTACTATCCCAGGTCCCGCAGAGTAAAGGTAGGTCTGAGCAGGATGGGATTGGACTACCTTCCCATGCTCTCCCTGGGACTACCTGCAGGGCTCCCAGCCACAGCGCTACTGCAGTCTGCTAACTCCTCTCCTTTGGTAACTTTTCCTTTCAGGGAGATGAGTGGAGGAAAAGCCTCAGCTGTTGCTTAAGCACTCAGGCAATTAATGGGAGCTCCAGCTGGTGAACTGAAAGTGAGACTGAAATCCTACACCTTTTTCCTTACACTAAAATTGATTTTGGCAACACTTTTGGAGTTACTTTAAGAATATGTCTATCTAGGATGTCAAGGAACACTGCTTGGACACGGCAGGGGAACTGAGTCATGCAGGGCTAGATGAGGACCGTTCCTGGCCTGCTTGGGGAAGTGGGAAGACTAGCTTCTGAAAAGCCCCTGTGCGGGCACCACCTTCCACTCCTGGAGGGCTTCTCAACGTGTTAGCTTCCCTGAGAAAACTTCAGGAAGTTCTGGTCCACCCTGACAGAGAGGATGCCTTGATCCTGGGTAGGGGAGCAGTCAAAGGTTTTACTGGTCAACATTAAACAAACCCAAAACCCATCTCATAATGCTGGGGTCTCAGATCCTCTTACTTCATTTTAATGCTTCATTTCAGTCTCTGCTCCTTCAAAACTCTAGCTTCAGAGCTCCCTAGTGGTTTGGTAGTTAAGGTGGTTAGATCCCACATGGCTAGTTGTACAGTTCAAATCAGACCTGGCTGCTTGAGAAACATGTTGGATAGTTGTGCGTGTGCCCAAAATCCCCAAAGGAGGGAGAGATGGAGAAGTGGTGTGACCATTCCTCATGGAGGGTGCTTTCTCACTTTCCCTCTCTTTCTCTTTCTTGAGAGCACATGTGCCTTCTACCGCATTTTTTTGTTTTCAATTTGCTATAGGGCATGTGTGCTCATTGGAGAGAGACAGAGAGGGAAAGTGAGAAAGCACCCCCCAGGGAGGATGGCTACACTGCAATCCCTTCTCCATTTTCCTCTCAGGATTTCGGGCATGCAGGCACACACACCCAGCGTGTCTTCCAAGCATGAGTCTGAGACTTGAACTGTGAAGTCAGCCACAGTTTTAACTACCGTATCAGCTGTCCCTTCTCTAGCGAAATAAAATGAAATTGGACAACTCTAAACTCTAGCTTCTAGTCTTCTGCTTTCCCAGTCTTGTAGGACTCCCTTGGACATGACTTAGTAGATGGTTATCTTTTTCTTCCTGTTCTTGGTTGCTTTAGATAACACTGGTTTGTCCTGGATGGACCCTCTCTGCATTGGCTTCTTTTATCATTGCTCTTTGTCATTTCCAGGCTTGACAGGACCATTTGGCAGTGGGTGGTGGGGCAGAGTGGGTGGGCCTTTATAGGGAGGGGCAAATGTGTTTGCAACTGGGGACAAGATGATGGCGAGCTGGGCAAAATGCTACTACCACTTCCACTCTCTTGAAGTGAGTGAGACTGAGCAGCTTTCTCTCAGAGGGATGCAGAGCATGTGGAAGAGGCCCAGTGTTCAATGAAGCAAGATGGTGACAGGGTTTTCAGTGATCTGACTGGTGATCGCAACTGGTTTGTCCCAGACACCTTAGAATATCCAGAAGGTATGTTGGAAGCACAGCACAGCATGGAAGTGAGAAGGCGGCAAAGGTATGCTGGCCAGTCTTGCTTTCAGCTAGGCAGCAGAAAACAAGGGCAAAGCTTGGTGGGAGTGATTGGTGTGGGTGCAGATGCCAGGTTCCACCTAAGGCCCCAAGAGGCAGGAGGCTGGGGGCCTGGTTTGCAGTTGTTACGAGTCCCCTGGTGAAAAGTCATCTTTGGCAGGGGTCAGGACTGAAGATAGATGAAGTAAAGGGTGAGACTACTTCCTAGGAGGGTTTCACTCTAGTGACTGGGAGAGAGGGTCGGGCATCTCTTGGGACCCTTGTCTTTAATGGACTGGTCTGCAGTGGGTAGGGCCCAGTGAGAAATGCTCTCTCATTGCACTTCAGAAAAAAGGAGGGGGAACAATTTCAAGAGGGTCAAAGGCAACAGGAATTTTCCTGCTACACATCTACACAGTAAAAGAGGACTTATGCCCGGAAAGGCAATATTTGAACCCTGAGGTTATTTCACCCTTGGCAAAATAGGGGCTGGGGGATTCATCTGTGCAGTACTTTCCTAAGCAAACGAGTCAGTGATCTCTGATAGAACTGGTCTCCATCTGTTGTTTCTGTGTATTTTAAAAGGGAAATCAATGAAGAGTGGACATAGCTCTCTCAGGTCCCTGGAGACCCAGTCCAAAGACTCCTAATTCCAGCTTTTTACTCTTGGGTTTTCTTGCCTAGAGGCATTCAAGGCCTTTGGCTTTATTAGCTTGATTTTCTAATCTTATCCCTCTTTTTTTCCCTAATAAAGGTGCTTCTTAAAGCAATACTTTATATGAACCACAATACAGCATTCCGAAAGAATTCAAGACTTTATTAACATATATTTATAACTTCACATTTACAACATTGTACTCGGCATACTGTTTGTGTATGACAACAAGTGTATTTTCACAAATACAAAAACGCACGAAGGCAGGGTATCATGAATACCACTGCATCGCTTTGGTAAAATAGTATTGAGAAATATAATTTAGAAAGCTAAATGATCACAAATGGTATGTTCTGTAAAAAGTGCTTTTCTTACAATCTCAGGATATTCTTCAGTTAAACTGACCCACAATCAGAAAAAATGAAATGATATCGTTCCAAAGTTGAATCACTAACTATGTCAACAACTGCTGGAATACTTACCGCAAATATAAAAGACAACAGACACTCAAAACTTACAATGAGAGCTTAAACAGTTTCTAATGTGATGGCATCACAACTCGGAAAGATGACATGTTTACTTGTTACTGAACTGTGAGAATAAAGACAGCAAGCGTTAAGTATTATGAAAACCACAAGAGCATCAATGTATTGAGGGCTTCTTGTGTTCCAGACCTCATGCAAAGTGCTTAAAGGCATGGGTCATTTCCTAACCACCCCCCAACTCTTCTCTTCCCATCTTTCAGATGAGGAAACTGATGTTCAGAGACGCCAAGAAATTTGTTTACTGTATACACAAACCTACTATAAGGCAGTACTCTACTGCATCGGGGCTCTACCTAGCATGTAACTCGATGGTGCTCGGTCTGTGCAAGCATGTTACATGACACAAATGGGCCTGATTTAAACACACTTGAAGTGCTACAGATTTTAAATCTACAAACAATTAAAAGAAATTTGCATATGTGCATAAACCATAAGGGGAGCTTTCTCCCAAGGTCTGCACAACGTGAATCAAGAACAAAATAAAAGCAAACTTGTTGATGAATGCTAACATGTTAAGATTTGGTTGTCAACACATGAGTCTACCTGTATGTATTACAGTGTAAAGAGTTTAAAATACATTTTGAGGATACAAATGCTGAAAAATGTCTGCAGAACAGTGGAGCGCAATTTCCAAGTCATTATAGTGGTGGAGAGAGAATTAGCATGGATCAGAATTCTGGGCTAGGATACAAATGCTGAAAAATGTCTGCAGAACAGTGGAGCGCAATTTCCAAGTCATTATAGTGGTGGAGAATTAGCATGGATCAGAGTTCTGGGCTTCTGTTTAGGTTCTCATACTTCTTAGCCTGAGGGTGCTGAGAAGGCCACTCAGCTCTGCTGAGCTTGTTTATCTTTACAAAGACTGAAATTATACCACAACAGGGTTGCTGTACACCTTAAATGAGGTATGCATGAATATCTTGCATCTAGTGGGCCTAACATACCAGAGTTCCTTTCCTCTCCTTTGTTGCCACTAAAACTTTCCAATCTAACCTGATCAACTTGCTTGCTAATCCAACATGCCCTGCACACTCCCACTTGGAGGCATGCTGTCCTCCATGGTCTACCCTCTCTTTGAAGCTGTCCTCTAAATAACATCCACTTCTTTCAGCCACGTCCGGGCTGCAGATCTCTTGAAATTAGGGAATACGCAAGGTCGTTTGGGTCTTCATGACCTGACAGAACATCTCGTTCTGCAACCATCTATCCCACCCTAAGCAGAAAGGCAGGTGGGGCACATCTCATGTAAGGCAAGAAACCCAAAGATGGGAGATGTTGCTATTCATTTGACAATGACACTTTTATTGGTTTTATGAACTTCTGTACACATAGGGTTATTTAGCTTTTCACGTGTCTCTGTGAGCTCCTCATCTAGACCAGGGCACAGCCCATTCTGTATATATAACACTTAACTGTAGGTTATAACTAGTTTTAGAAATCCTTGTAGTGTCTCACCACATAGCTAGAAAGAGAGAATTGGACTTGTGAAAGAAAATCACCTGACAAGTTGAATGGTTTCATTTTCAAGTGTATTATAAAAGGCATTTCTTCTAGTGACAACTCTTTCTTCTATGGTATGGGTAAGCTTTAGTCTATTTGGAGGTATTTCAAGGAAACCAGAAGTACAGGTCTTGCAGATTCCCGTGGGTTTATTACCAACTTGTTAGAATTTAATCTTTTGTTTATTAATGATCTATATAGGGTCTAAGAAACTCCCAGGTCTTTTGTTTCTTAGAAAGAAAAATCACGAATTGGTTTGAATGCCTGGATTTCAATTCTGTACATAAAGAAAAAAATACTAAAAAAGGTTTTAGGCCAGGAAAGCAAATATCCCTAGGCCTGCAGGCGATGGGGTCCTGTTCCCCGTTAGTTTTTAGTCATTTCTCTTGTTCCCCCAGCGGCCATAGTTACCCCCTTCATCTGCCTCTTCAATACGCTCATTTTCAAAGGAGGCCTCTTCTTCTTCTTCCTCCCTTATTACCTTCATCAACTCAAGGAAGCTGGGGGGCAAGCCCTGATCCTTCAGCTCCCTCAGCCGACACCAAAGAATTTCGTTCAGACTGGCCCCGGCCATGACCTGTTCTAAGCGGACCTGGTCCGCGATATTCCTTGGGATGGCCCGTTTCTCCACTGCCTTCCGGAGCAGGGTTTCTAACCGTAACACATAGGCTGACACTTTCTCTCCTTCCTCTTGGTAGGTCTTCAGATACCTCACCTGGGAGGTCCTGCGGCTCTCCAGGCTCCCAAATACTTGTTTAAAAGCTTCCAAACACTCTTCCACACTGATGGATGGATTATCTGCCTGCACTATACGCATGAGGTCCAGGGCAGGGCCCCGTAGGCTTTCCATCAGCCATCTTTTCTTTTCTGTCTCAGCCACTGGCCACTCTTTGACTATCTCAGTGGCCTGCTCCAACCAGATCTCAAAGGGCTCTTCCTCTGGGGCTGGCACGGTGCTGCCTGAGAACACTCTCAGTTTCCGGTATCTCATGGGCAGCAGGGGCTGAGGGGCATGTGCCATTGCCTGTCCCAACAAATGGGCCAATAACTCTGGTGATATAGGGGGCACTGTGGCTGGGGATACTCCCTCATGTCCAAGGGCTCGGAACATCCCTGAGACTGTCTGCCCCTCCTTTTCTAAAAAGAGGTTTAGTCTTTCAAGAAATTCAGTGTCCTGGTTAGGGGTCTTAAAGATCACTTTCCAGACATTTTCCGGCCCCTGAACCTCACTGGGGATCACAGAGACATCCGTTTCTTCCAGGAGCTCTAATAAGACGGCATTGGCATTCTCCTGCTTCCGGAATATCTTGCCAAGCAGTCTAAACCTTCCCAGAGACTTCAAGGTCTCCTGTAGGACCTCCTGAATCTCAGCCTCATTGCAGTCCACTGGTATCCCCATAACCAGCAGCGATTTCTGATCATCCACACTCATTATTCTGCACCAGTCCTCTAATAGGGCCAGCGCCATTGTCCTGCTTACTCACTCACTCTCACGCTACCAATTAGCTGGTAGTGCAGAGAGCACTGCCCTAGGACCAGAAATACCCAGATAAGCTTCTAAACTTATAACCCACCAGTGAACGGACTCCAGGCTAGTCTTCTGGACCAATAACCCTGTCTTGCCTAGTGGCAAGAACTCAGCACTTTTTGTTCCGTCTTTAGACCCAATGTGAGGTGGGGAGGATAGAGCTCAGTTACAACAGCGTCAGTGCCGGTCAACTGTAGTCCGACGGGGGCTGTTTCTCACCGAGGCTGGCAGCCTCCTGGTGCTGACCTTTCCTAACCGACGAGCCCCCTCTCTGGTGCTCCACTCTCTTTAGCTGGTGGAGAAACACCTTCCACTCTGGTACCCAGAATTCTTGCAAGGAAGTCTTACGGCAGGTCGCTGGTGGCCTGGTGAAACAAAGTTCAGTTTTAGCACACTGCCCTCTCCTTCCCAGGAACTGTCCATTCTCAAGTTTGGAATGGAATCCTCAGAACTCTGTCTCACATTTTACCTGGCTCTATGCCTCTCTGTTTACCAGTCTCTGCCCTGTTTTTGTTTCCTGGAACTTTTCCCTCTGTGACCCCACTGCAGTCTGGTTTCCTCACCATATGCTCATCAGACATGTCACTAGTGTCTCTGCCCCAGTTATGGACAAGATTCAAGGCCATGGCTATCTGAAAGATAAAATCAGAAGATATGGCGAGATACCTGCTTATGCGTTCCAGAATGTTCTGTGAGACTCAAGGAGCTTATTTTTTTCAGCTTCTAGCACAGGAAGATGCCAGCCACTTCCACACAAAGGCGTGTCTGAGTCTGAGCTCCAGCCACGCCCCACTGCCCTGTTACACATAAACAACATGTTTTCATGTCTCACTACCATGCACTGACAAAGACCGATACTTACTCAAAAATATGACAGCCATTCACAATTTAATGAAGAAAGTCTGCTAAATAATATTGATTTGCTTCACTTCTTTGATTAAAAAAAACCAATGAAGAATCACTCAAGGGCTGCCCTCGTGGCCTACGGGTTAAGGGAGCCAGCTCTCACATGGCTGACTGTAGTTCGAATCATGGATCTGGTAGCCTCCCAAACATGCCAAGCACATGTGCAGGCATGCCCCGAATACCAACAGGATGGACAAAGAGAGAGAACTGCAGTATGACTGTGTCCCATGGGGGGTGCTTTCTCCTTTCTCTCTCTGAAGAGTGTGTGCCTCTCTGGCACTTAAAAGAAAAAAAAATTACCTAGATATTTAAAAGTAATTTGGGGGATGGCAGGTGGTGTGGTGGTTGTGATGCTGGACTCCCACATGGCTGGCCGTGTTTGAGTCCTGGATCTGAAGACTTGCTTTCTCACTTTTTCTTTCTCTCTCTCTGCTCATATTAAGAAAATAATAATAATACCAAGTGAAATTAAATACATAAATATTTCTTGAAAAAAGGAAAGGAATTTAATATTGGTATTATAGATAGAAAAAATGATCAGAGACAAATAAGTTAAAATTACAAACTAATTCTTGGGGCCAGCCGGTGGCATGGTGGTTAAGGGTACTGGACTCCCACATGGCTGACCATGAGTGCTGGACCTGGTGGCTTGCTTTTTCACTTTCCCTCTCTTTCTAGCTCTCTGTCTCTCACTGGTCAAATAAGATAAATAAATAAAATAATTCTTTAAAAACATATCTTTCATATGTGTAGTGAGGCTTTGCAAATGCACAACTTCATTCTTTTGCTATGAATGTTGTTACTAATAATACTTTTTTCTCCAAAATTAAAAAAGTTTGCTATCGAGTATATGTGTTCTCCAGAAAGAGAGAAAAAGGGAAAATGCACCCCCACCCCCCTGGGGAGATGGCCAAGCCATAATCCTTATCTCCCATTCTGTCTCAGGATTCTGGGCACACACACATATGTGCCTGGTGTGTCTCTCAAGCTGCTGGGCCTAGAACTTGGACTGTGCAGTTGGTCATGTGGAATCCAGCCACCTCAACCACCATGCCGGCCTGGCTTCTTCCCTAGCATTTGAACTTGAATGGGTCATTTGAGAAAAAAGAAAAAGGAAACACTTTTACCCAGGAACTTATTCTAGAGAACCTAGGAAGAGTGTCTAATACCTACCAGTTACTGCCAAGTGTGTGTTACGGGGCTACAACCAATTCCCCCTTGGCCTGGCCATCACTCCAAATGGAGTCATTGTCATAGATGGCAACCTATAGTGACTGCAACAGCTGCTCTTGCTGCTGGCAGATCTCCTGAGTCTTTATGAAAGGTGAAGACACCCTGAGTATCCAAGAGCCAGGAGGGAACGTGCAGTTTCGGTTCTGCGCCCAGTAGCCCAGGCACCTGGGACTGCTGAGCTCTGCATGCCGGAATTTTCCTTCTAAAATAGGCACTGACCTTCCTTCCCATTCAGAGGGAACATGGGATGTCCAAAGGCATTGAGGGTGCCAGTGGATGGTGTAGTGGTAAAGGCACTGGACTCTCACATGGCCGACCTTGGAGAGTCTCAGACTGGAGGCTTGAAACTCATACCAGGTGTGCCCCAAATCCCAGGAGAACGGAGAAGGGATTGCAGCATGGCCATCCCCCAGGGGGTGATTTCTTGCTTCCTCTCTCTGTCTCTCTGGTGAGCCCACATGCCCTCTAACAAAAATCTTTCTCTTAAAAAGGAAAACAAAAAGGCATTGAGGGCCAGCAGGTGGTGTGTTGGTTATAGCGCTGGTTCCCACATGGCTGACTGAGCAGGTGGAGTCCTGGACCTGGTGGCCAGAAAAACACTCCTTACATACCCAAAATCCTGAGAGGAGAATGGAGGAGAAGGGATTGCAGTGTGGCCATCCCCCAGGTGGTGGTTTCTCACATTCTCTGTTTTTCTTGGGTGAGTGTACATGCCAAACGGCAAAAAACAAAAAACCAAAAACAAACAAAAATAACAACTAAAAGGAAAAAAGGTATCAAATGCCCAGGAAAAAAGGTCTCTTGGGGCTGCTGTTAAACATCACGCTAAAAAGGCTAGTTTTGGATGACTCTCTCCTAAAGGCACTCTCTACCTGCAATTTGACCTTCAGAAAAAAAAAAAAGGCAAGTGAAATTGCCTGGATATATAATAGAGCCATGGATGGGAATATTCAGGTACAGAAAACAATCAAGAAGGAACTTGTACTTTCTCACATACAGGGGCCCTCAGGCTGGACTGAATAAAGAACCAGACTTAGAGGTAGACCCCCGGGGGTGGGGGGGATTGTTGGATCATTTAAGTGGATACAGGACTTCAGGCACACTCTAAAGGTTAGCTTCCTATGCTGGAAAGTGGCTGAGGATAAAGCGCTCATCTCAGAGCCGCTGAGTTGGAAATGGCGAAATTCATGTAGAAGCGCTTTATTCAAATGTGATGAACGACTGGAGCTAAGTCCAAATTGCATCTTCCAGTTCTCTCGGCCCCTCCACAGCAAGTTCTTCTCCTTTCTCCTCCCCTACTCATCCAGGCTCCTGCCCACTTACTACGGTGGCCTTATCTCCAAACTGTGCCCTGTTGGCCTTCAAATTTAACTCTGTTCGTTACAGTACCTCTCACAACTGGCCAGGGTTGGGTGGTGTATGTGACCACATTTAATCCTTTTGGGGGCAAGGGCTGAGCATGGAACTGAACCATGAACACAGGGTTATTTCACGGCTTTGCGATAAACCGCCTCTCTTAGCCCAAACCCGCCCTGGTTCCTGAGTATCCCCAGATCTAGTTACTGAGCATGCCCAGACCTCTCTCCCCAGCAGCCAAGAATGGGCACCATTTCTGCAGGATTCTGCCACTGTGTAAAGAGGGCCGGGCTGAAATCATCCAGGGGCAGGGACTGGTCGGCAGCAGAAGGTACGTGGAGATGGGAATCAAACAAAGCCCTGCCAGTGGAGGCCGCGTTACCGACACAAACCAGTGTCCCCTGAGTACCTACCAAAGCGGCAGCTGTGGCTGGGCTACCCACACTTCCACACCAAGTCACGCACACCTTCCTTCGGCTCGGCCGCACACGATTCACCACACTCTCGAAGCGCACACGCTACCTTCCACCCGCTAACGGACACGCGCGCGCACTACAGCCCAGAGCACGCGGCCGCGGGCAACCCAGCAGTTCTCACGCAGTGCGCAACAGGAGCGGAGGGCGGAGATTGGTGGCTGGACGAGGCAAGGGGTCTGAGTACTGGGGAAGGCTGGAGATTTACCGAGTGGGTGTCAATCAGTTCACCTTCCCCCTTTTTTTTCCGGGATGGGGGATGGAAGATACCAAACCACAGCGCCGTCCAGGGCCTGCTTGGCACAGTGGCGCAGACACCGCACGTGGCGCCTTCGGGCCATAGAGCGGGCCTGCTCCAGCTCTCAATGGTCGCGCTGGGCTGGAACCTGAACTGCACTCTGCTGCACTGCCACAGCCAGCGGACTCACGGCTCTATACCCCTCCTCCCGCTTGCTACGTCCTCTAGATTCCTCCCCGCCATGTTGTACTCCCCCCACCACGTGCGCACCGGCGAGAATCTTCTCGTTTCAGTCTCTACCCAAGGTGTGTGGGTAGACTTAAGCTTTAGTGCCCAGTACCCCGGCTGCTCTCCTCCTGTCGGCGCCCGC